TACGACGGGCACGTTAACTCGAACGCAGCTTGAGTGATTGGTTTAGAGCAGTAACCTTAAACGCACAAAGACGACGAGCCCCATGACGATACATTTTTGGCGCTGCCCGATTAGCTCCATCGGATCATCCACGTTAACCAATAAGAAGCGCACTCGAGGCACGACTACCTTTGCAAGATTGGTTTGTTACTGTCGGGCTGGCATATAGATCAAAAATGGGCGTGTCTGCTTCGTTATATGGCACGAGTGCATCTGTAGCCGTGGATACACGGATGCGACCGTAGCGCATCGAATCGAGATACGACGATTGTGATTGGTCAGAAGAGGACGAAGCAGAGGGACTGGGCGCGTACATGTGATTGATTCCCTCTCAATTCGATGTGGCTATACTGTCACTTCCATGTAAACGCAGATTGTATTGTTTTTGTGTACTTTGCGACTGGAGTATTGTGTTGTCGTATGATTCCTCGTGCGGAGTGAAGTGAGGCAAACTATGGATTTTGGAGTTGATTGAGTTGGCATGCACAGTGTTAGGACGTTGCGTTCGCGCTCTATACCAGGTGTCAGAGACCAAAAAAAAAATATATCGGTAGTCGTGAGTGTTAGCGTACCACAGCTCGGAGCACGTAGAGCGAAAAACCGCCCCGCCGAGCCCGAGGATCATTTCTCGGTTTAATATCCGTCTCTGCCCACTTGGGTACATGTGCCCGATCGTCGTAGCAGCATGTGCAGTCGTTATAATCGGTGCTGCGTGATCTATACATTGAAGGACGGCCAGATCAACAGTGTCGAACTGCGCTGGCTAAATATCTTATTTACAGCATGTAACGATGCCGCAATTAATCGAGGCTTCACCAACCTCGCTTCGTTTATTGATGACGAGATGGGACTATGTAGCCTCCTGAGACCCCAGAAAAAAATATTTTGGAACCAAATGTTTTTACTGAACTCTGTTGAGTACATGGCCCACACATTTTCACGCGCGTTATAACTTTTTATCACACTTGTGATAAATGTGCAACAGATAGCATACCAGGACTAAGTTGATATAAAAAACGTGGGTACATGATAAAAAAGACTGCCTCAAAACGTTTCCCGTGAAGCATAAATTAACATGTTTCTCTCGTCAATTGCACGAATGCGGGTTCCTCGACTATGGTAGTATAGCTTACTTCTAGTGAGAGTTCTTGAAACAGTTTCGAGCGACCGTCAGGCACAAAAATACCTGGCAGGTGCAGCAACGAAACTTTGTTCTCTGCGAACAACCAGGATTTCTGCACTTGCTGGCAGATTTCTGGTCAACGAGTTCAGGAATGTGGGAAGCAGCTAAGCAGCGTACCGACGGTGATGGCAGGGGCACTACTGCAGGCTTTCGAACTTGCCATGTGACACACTCGTCAACACAGAGGGCTTTTGTTTTCTCTGCAGGTAGGAGGTAGTGCGACAGCTGAAACTTGAAGTCCAACAGTTGCATGACCTTCTTTCTTGGAGTGTGTAGTTTAAATTGGTCCGCTTTGTTGAGGAGCCAGGAGTTGACAACTCCTACATCGATCATGAAGATGATGGTCCGAACAGTTTATTTCCTTGTCCGCGTTGTCGTTGGATCGAAACTTTACATTCTGTCACTCAAGTCGACACCTCTCATGAAAGTGTTGTACTGAGCAACAATTGCTGGTCTAGTGACTTTGATTTGCTTTCTGTCTTTCTTTGAGAAGCGTGTCCATTCCTCAGTTGGTTGTATGCCAACATGGGTGGATGCCAACATGATCGGCTTGTTACCATACCACTTCGCGATCGCAATATTTGACGAAGTCCCCACACACTGCGAAAGGGCGCCGCGTCCTTAGGCACGCACGTTTTGGTCACTTTAAAATTTCAGTGACTTCGCCAGCCTCGAATTCATGATAGTTCAAGCGCCTCTCATTTTCTTTTCAGCTAACGATTCAAGAAGGGGAATGCTCGTGAAGTAACGGTCGAAAAACAAAGACGTTCCTTCAGACAAGCTTTCGGTCAGCTTCAAAACTACTGAAGCACCGATGCCGTGCTTTTAGTCTTGCCCAAGGCTACCTTTCCCGGAAATATGTCGAAGTCTAGGATCAGCCCTTCGGGGCTAGCCAGAACAAAGTTCTTGAGGGCAGTGGGATTAGGCTTGACAGGTACAAATCGCTTGATGGAGCAGTGGCCTGTAAATGGAATTATCTGTTCATCAGTGCACACGTTTGGGAGGCGCGGCAGACTCAGACAAGCCATTCTGATGATATCAAGCAGTGGGCGGACCTTCCACAGTAGGTCGACCTTTTTTCCTTCGTCGGTTACTGCAAGATCGTTTACGACCTTCAGGCTGGATCGCAACTGAAAGTAGCGGTTTCTTGTGATTCTATCGACAATCGCAGGAACGCTGGTTTCTTGACTCCGGTAAAGTCTCACTCGAAGGTACCCCAGGCAGCACATGAGCAGTGTTGCACCAAGAAGCACTTTCATTTCCCCGGGAAAAGAATTGAGTGATCGTCCAGTGCGTTGAAGGAAGGTTACTTCTGTCATTTCGTGCAAGGGCTCAAGAGCGTGGTCATTGATGTACCTGGTGAAATGGTCGTTTGCTTGCCAACCTTCCCTTTCATCTGCTGTAGGAGGTGATGGCTGTGGAAGATTGGGCAGGAGAGACCAGTAGTCCTCTTTCAACAACCATTTTTCTCGAGCGACTGGTAACTGCTGGGATGGCATATCGGTTTCGACATCAGTGTCAGGCTCGTAGCGGGTAGCGTCGCCATCTGCATCTGTAAGAAATATCACATTCTTTACTTAAAAACTGTATATAAATTCAAAAGAGCTTATGCAATACAAGAAAATATACTCGCAAACCTGCGAGGGATGCGCAGTTCTGGTTGTCATCAACGGCATCTTCCGTGTCGGGGAGCTCCAAATCAGAATCGTCACCGTTTGACGAAATCTTTTCCAGGAGAGCAGCAGCTGAGGATTCATCAGGATCCAAAAAAGTGAAGTGTTTATGTTCATTTTACCTGATAATGACAGGAAGGCCAATCTGACGCTTAGGCACAACATGAATGTCAACAATGAACGTGGTTCCCATGTGCAACACATTGAACACTGAAGTTAAAGCGGGAATGTTGCAAAAAATAAAGCCATCGATATCCAACCACCCACATCAGAGATGATAGGGACCTTTTATGAGTCCTAAAAACGCAAGGTTAAGCGAAAGGCTACTATTTTACAAAGTCCACAAGCTACTTACCTTGGTGTCGACGATAGACCGACTTCGCCGAGAAAGTCGCCATTTTTGTTGTTCGATTCCAACAATGCCTGCGCCTCTACTTGAATGACGCGCCACCAGACGGCGGCGCCTGAATGTACTCTTCAATGCACAGGCGGCCTTCCTTGTGTTTTTTCTGGAATCCCAATTACTGGGACTGAGAACCTCAATGTGCAATGAATTGTACGCGGGGTCTCAGGAGGATATGGGGGCGCTTTATCCCGCTTGTTTTACACGGCGCTCGATGTTTACCCAGTGCAATTGACATGTCAACTGGATTTGTTTCGTCATCTGTGCCGATCAAATGTGGGGCAGAGGTTAAGCAAAAATGCTGCTTCAGCGTTTGATAGGGACTTGTGTTCGTTCCATTGGTACTTTGCTATGATTTGAAGGCCGACCTACAGAATCATCTTCTACCGGGCAAAAAAACCGGTTCCTAGTTTCCTTCTATCTATTCACTCTCGCCCTCTTCCCTCCCCGCCCCCCCCCCCCCCCCCTCAACAAGAACGGGTCTCCGAGCTACTCTTCGCAGAAAGAAGGATGGTCTCGCTCTTTCTCACATGAAAAGGAAAAATTGAAGGAGAGTTTCCTTCTTTATGCTTGTTCGTCGGCCTTTAACACGAGACGCAGCCCACCGCTGACGAAGCGTCCGACTACGTCAGCCGACCGTTGCGTCAGAAATATGAACTTATAATTTATGTTGTTGTTGTTGTTGTCGTCGTTGTTTTGTGGTTTTAATCCTCAATCTAGACTCTAGGGACGCGACGGTTGGATCTTCTTCCCTGTACAACCAACGTCTAATTTCCCCTTATTTACGGTTGGTAGCTTTGGTCGCCGTAAAATATGAAACGTGCACCATATAGTGCTACTCGTCATTGATCACCCTGAATTCAGAAAGCATGAAGGCTGGTTCACATATCTGCGTTGATTGCGTTCGCATGCTACCGAAACTACCGTAACGGCAAAGTCACCGGGACAAGTGTTCGCCGTACACAGCATGGCGAGCGATGCAAGGGGCAGCTACGCGAAGTAATCTATCAGTCAAGGTTTTTGGCGGTAATTTGGTCGTAAAGATCGTTTCGGTTGCATGCGAACGCAACAGTCGCAAATGTGTGAACCAGCCTTAACCGTTCGCAGTCTCCTCTTGTTCGGCTGAAATATAGATATTTCCAATGTTTACAAAATCACAGTCCAGCTTGCGATCTTCACAGCCGTGGGGCCCTATGTTGCGCTTTTTGGACTCCCACGGCGACTAGGGCGAAGGAAGTGACGTCAACAACGCAGCAAACGCAGATTAGATGCTGATTGGTGAGAGTCGCTGATGACGAATTTCCGCAGAAGGAAACAAAGAAAAAGTGAGCTTTGTTTTCTTCTGCCGAAATTCGTTATCAGCGACTCTCACCAATCAACATCCAATCTGCGTTTGCTGCGTTGTTGACGTCACTTCCTTCTCCCTAGTCGCCGTGGGAGTCCAAAAAGCGCAACATAGGGTCCCAGCACGTGCGTGTTCGTCACTTCGGGAAGCGAGCAAAGCACGCGCCATACGCACGGACACTCAAGATGGCACCGGCCACACGCTCCGTTTTGGAAAGGTCTATAGGACGCTGATTTTGCATTGGCGTGCTGATGATGACCAGTATTATTGTTATTATTATTATTATTATTGCTACTATTATTATTGACAAAAAATAAAGCATACTAATTATTACTCTAAATCTCTTTCGCTTTACAGGATTCCGACGCCATATCGAACACGAAACACGGTAAGTTCAACGGCCGTTTTATCAAACCGCTCGATTGTGTTTGCAGACCCGCACGGTGGCACTCTTTTGTCAGTACCATCAATCTTGACAGTGTGACATTTATCCGTATTCGGTCACCGAAAGCAGAACTAATCCAAGTTCACCTACATTTGGAAAACTGACCAATTTTGGAAAACGACACTTTTGGTCGACGTCGACAATAGGCCTATAGAAAGAAAACAAAAACAGGAAAACTATTTTATCCCCACGAGGAGGGGACAACTGCGTGTTACTACAGCCCGGAGGTGAAACCCGACTGAAGCATTGTTCACATGGTGCTATTTTACATGCGATTTCGCAGTCACAACGTCGCTAACGCGAAAAAAAAATTGGGAGAAGTTGCGGTGCCCGACGTCGCAGCTGCGAATAGACTTCTTGCTATGTTACCAAAGCTCAAGGAGCATGCGCGAGTGAAGTTGCACGCGCTACGCGTACTGCATTCTGCGGCAGTAACTCTTCCGAAGTAAAAATCCAAAATAAATGGCACTTTGCACGCGCGTTCATCAGCGTCTTAATTTTGCTTGCTCACTTCGAAATTCGAATAATTAATATAGATAAGCCGAAAGCGTGCAGCGAGTGTACCTACGTTCCCAGCATTCTTTTTGATGCTTGGTTAATTTAGCAAAAGGTCTATTCGCGAGCAAAATCGCACCGTGCGAATCGGCCTCAAGGCGGAAAACGCTATTCGGCTGGCATTGACTCAGCCGCATCGGGCTACATTTTGATAGTATCCAAAAGGCCGCGAGGCAGGAGAGGAACGTCAGAACGTATTTGAAGAAATCCTGGTTTATCGGAGGAAATGAGAGCAGACAGTCCACTTTCACGGTGTTGATTTTAGAAGGCAATTACCCCAAGCCTCCGTCGTGCGTTTTAGACACCACCAAACATGTTACTCGCAGCTGATGATCATTTCGCGACGTCGCACGTACGAACCACGGTCGCCTCCGCGCGCAGCCTCTTGCTGCTCTTGTTCAGAGCCTAGGGAGTGATAGGCAATTTTCGGCCCTTCAATGCAAAACGTAATGAAGATAAACTGATCTGCAGGCTTGTGAGGGAAGAGAAATTCACTTCAATCTTTCGCCTCCTTCCCAGACTATGCCATAGCACAAATAATATTTTTGTTTGGCGAGACTAGCGACCCAGGTGCGTGCCTCGGATTCTCTGTTGTGCTTTTCAATCTGCAGAACTTTAATAACAATAGTTGGAAATAAGAACTGAACGCAGAAGGCTGATTTTGTCCAGTGCCTAATATTTCGACGAGTCTTACGCGAAAAGCATGTTTTAGCTCAACATTTGGGCTTAATGTCTTTTTCTTCGAAGCAACATGCGCTGAAATGCACGTCGGTAACATGAGCCGATGTCCTGGAAATGCAAGATAGATATTCCTAACGAAAGTGAATAAGAAAAATCTAGAGAAAGCTCATTGTTGTTGGAAACCAGAATGGGATTCTTGCGAGCCAAGATGTACAGGGATAAATACTATAAACGACTTAATTTTCGCGGGCTCCAATATTCGCGAATCGGGCCAAAGCAGAAAATTTGAAATTATTTGCGGGTTCTAATTTTCGCGAATCGAGTGTAGCTTCCGTCGCGTTCACATATTGCCCGAATTATTCGCGGGACATATTTTTCGCGTTTGTAGGCGATTCGCGAAATTCGCGAAAATTAGGTCCCCGTAAAAATTTAGTCGTTTACAGTATCAGGATACAAATAGAGTGTGGGGAGTGTGTGGAGAGAAGAAGGCGGCTGGACACTTGACGCTCCACTTATTGTAAAGGGCGTCTCCGCAGTTGGCGAAGGCGAGAATGAGCTGCTAAGGGCATTGAAAGTAAGGGAGGCAGACTAACCTAGGGTAATTTCAATAATTTCATTTATTATACCTTTAAACCGCCCTTGGGGCTTTACATAAGGGGAGGCAAATAAAATACGACAAATTCAAACCACTCAAAAAGAAACAAAATGTTGCTATGTGTTTAAAAAAGCTGCAAGTACGGCTCTGAAGTCAGATGATTCTTGAATCGTGACGAAGTTATCAGGAAGAGAATTCCATTCAGAAATTGACGATTGAAACGGTAAAAATTTGAAAGAGGCTTGTTCTTGGTGTGACCAATTGAAGTTTTTGAGAACTGCCAGTGCGAGGGGATATTTGGAATGCAGCCGGGCAATACAAATCTCTCTTTGATGGGGAATGGTAATACAAGGTGCGTAGTGAGGCAAATCTCAGGTGTTTCCTTCTCTCCCCGAGAAGAGCAACACCAAATTTGGGCTTCAGTTTGGTGACTGGAGAACGCGGGATGCGGCTTCAATACAGACGCCGTGTACAAATCAAACCGTATACGAAAGCGAAAAAATACGTCACCGGAAATGGGCAAAACGCCATCGCCATCGTTACTAGTCCGTCCGGAACCGGCATCCGCTCGAAGGTTTGGTGTCAACCGACTCAACGAGTCGGCGAGATCCTCGCAGCCGGGCGCTGTTCCGGCGCGCTCGATCAGGAGGACGCTAACGCGAGCGTGTAAAACACCGCGTTCGCATTTCCGACAAACCCGCCAGCACAGCGTGTCCATCGGCGGAGCCACCGGGTGATAAAGGGTCCTTGAGGCGCGGGCCACGGAGGCGTGGCTCCGACAGGTAGACGTACCTGAGCAGGAAACGCCGATGACATTGTTGTCGCATGATTGCATACAATTGCAATTACCCGCCAGTGCGTGACTCCCGCCAAGCACGTTCGCGCGCGCGTCTGTCGGGAGTGTGCGACAGGGCAGGTGACGGGGGCTTGTATACCGATTCACACTGGCTTATTTTTCAGAGGAATGGACGACGTCCAAGAAGGTGGTCAACCACAAGACCCGCCAGGTAAGCTTGACATCGAGGCCGACTCGCTGGAAGGAACAGCTTAACTTATCCTAACTTGAAGTATACCGCGCCCCCGTGGGCCAACTATACAGAGCGAGCGGAACGAAGCGTTTCGTTGGACGGCTCTCCACAGGAGTGAACTCCGACGGTAGTCTGTGTTCGGGCGCTCTCATTTGCCTCGCAGGCGCCTCGGCTTGCGATGTTTATAAATTTATGTTTGAGCCCCTGAGAACTTCAGAAACAAAGGGCGTGCCTCTTTTATTCGCCACGGCCTGCGTTTCTTTATAAAGCTGTCGGCGACTACGGTATCTATTGGTCTTCCTGAAGGCCTGGATAAAACTCCCTCAATCGACACCAAGATCGTCTCTAACATGAATTGCTCGACGTTATGGCCAAAATTTTACATTTTAGACGATCCGAAGGTCACTTTTACGAGTCGTTCTCAAAACGATCTAAGCTAAAATGAAAGATGGTGAACATGAGCGGATATAGAAACTACCGTCTCTCTTTGGAATTTTCAATACGTGTTCGACTTGCGCTGAAGTCACATTAGCTGCCATTATATGGTGGCTTTGTTGCCCAAAGCGTACCTACTGCTGCGTACATTTTACCCGGCGAAATTCGGATTTCTCAGCAAAGAAAGTACGAATGGAGAAGTAAGAGTAGTGGCACATTCTAGCTGGTGAATGGTCATGCCTATAAAATCCCTTGTTTCGGGGGCTTAGAAGTAGGAGTTACGGTTTTCACAGTGCAGTGACGTCACGTTCAAACGCATGTATACTGCAAGTTGAACCGACAATATGCGAGTGCAAGTTCCGCATTAGCCACGATTGGGAATTCATGCTGTAACACTCAAAGTGAAAGACACGTGTTAGAAAGGGCCCTTCGGTGACACCACCAGCTTCCGTTCAAAGATCTCGCATATTCAGAACCTCTGTACGCTAGCTAGTCTATTTACACCGCTGCAATTTTTTTTTTTTTTTTTTTTTTTCACTTTTGGGTCGAGCGGCGACGGTAGCTGTCTCCGTTCGGGTTTCAGAGGATTAGCCAGGAGCATAAACTTCTTCCAGCACAGAGAGTTTCAGAAACGCAAGACGTGCACCCTGTCCCGAGTGTGATATCAAAAATTTTTAGGGAACCGTTTTTGAACATACGATACGGTACGATGGGCCCTCCGGTAAGAACTGAGCACGTGCGAGTCTCCTGCGGTAGCACACGCGCAGTTTGTACCGAAGGGTCCATCGAACCGTATCGGATGAGCAAAAACGGTTCCCTAAAACTCCCTAGTATCGGATGTGCAAAAACGGTTCTCTAAAACTCCCTAATATCGGATGTGCAAAAACGGTTTCCTTAAACTCCCTAGTATCGGATGTGCAAAAACGGTTCCCTAAAACTCCCTAATATCGGAGGTGCAAAAATGGATTCCTAAAACTCCCTGTAGTATCGGATGTGCAGAGCCGGTTACCTAAAACTTCCTAATATCGGATGTGCAAAAGCGGTTCCCTAAAACTCTCTAGTATCGGATGTGCAAAAACGGTTCCCTAAAACTCTCTAATCTCGGATGTGCAAATACGGTTCTCTAAAACTCCCTAGTATCGGAAGTGCAAAAGCGGTTCCCTAGAACTCCCTAATATCGGATGTGCAAAAACGGTTCCCTAAAATTTCCCAATATCGGATGTGCAAAAAAGGTTCCCTAAACCTCCCTAGTATCGAATGTGCGAAAACGGTTCCCTAAAACTCCCTAGTATCGGATGTGCCAGAATGGTTCCCTAAAACTCCCTAGAATCAGATGTGCAAACACGGTTTCCTAAATCTCCCAAGTATGGGATGTGCAAAAACGGTCCATCGTCCGTAGCCAAAGGTATTGCGGCGTTATCCGACGAGAACGCCGAGGAACTAATCACGAAGCGGACACATAATGCGTTTATTAAGCTCTCAGTGGGAGGAAAGTATCAAGCCACGAAATATTTAAAGGGGCACTGAAGTCGATTCTGAGATCGTCCTTTTTGTGGTGACAACTCAATCTAGACGCTCTAAGTATCCCTACAAACCCGAAATCACAATCGTGCGCAGATTATTTTTTCGTTAAAATCGTGTTCAAAGATCGCGACACGCCCTTTTTTGGGAAGAATTTTCTTCCGAGTGAAGTGGTCGACGAAGGGCGCTTGTCGGCGAGTTGCAAGCGATGGCTTCGCCCGCGGTGAAAAAGAGGAGTCTTATCTGATTGTGTACTGATGTCTACCTATCAGATTCTCTTCGAAACGAGTTCTAATGAAATCATTCGGTATCTGCGCGTATTGTAGGGCTCTCCTTGGTCCACACAGTGTAGTCCGCGAGAAAAAAGGGTCCATATGTTTTCCTCTTGCCCAGAGAGGAATAGGCGGTTTTGTAATATAGGACTTGGTAAATATGAGAACTAACACATTTTAAAGAATATAAGATTATAATCGACCTTTTTTAAGAATGACTTCAGTGCCCTTTTAAGGTTTACCAATATCTGCCTGCATCGAGATACATGTTCAGCTAATAGCGGAAACCTAGGGTGGCGTACGCACCGCACTTGCGACTGTTAATAGGGACTTTTAGCAAACCGTTACCGTGTTCCGCGTGCCGCACTAGCGGACCCTTTGAAGCGTGCTTTTAAGCACGCTCGCCCGGGTCATACCGTGACCGCGAAGGCGCGCTTAAAAAGCATGATTCAAAGGCACCGGTAGTGCGATACGCGGAACACGGTAACGGTTTGCTAAGAGTCCCTATTACTGTATTAATATTAAACAAAGGGTTCTGTTCCTATGGCTTTCGTTCGACGGGTCAATGCTAGATCGTTGCTCATATTATTTTGAAAGGTCCGCATGGTTGCATTGACGCTTTCGAATGACCTTTCGCGAGGGTTCATTTTATTTCATTTATTAGCCATTCTAAAGTGGGGTGGCAGGGACAAAAGGTACTTAAATAGCACCTGATCAAGGTCCCAAGTCTCATACAGGTTTCAGATCGGCAACACACATAAAAGCAAAAAAAAAAACAAAAAAAAAACAAGGTTGTTCACACATATTTATGCAATATATTATTCATGCTTCAAAAAATAAGAGTTAATTCTTTTTTTGAACATATCAATTGAATTTCCTCCTTCAGCTATTTCCAGAATCGGAGGATACATGTTTAGAAGTTGGGGAATTTGCTGTGTTAATGTTTGTTCACCATTGCTCCGTACGTGTTTGAACTCTAGCATAATCCAGATGTCTTAGGTTGCAGTGAGTTTCTCTTCAGAAAAATCGGGTATGAGACGACTCCGTGTCAGTTTTGAGATAATGAAATATGACTTTTGTAAGGTTGAGCGTTATTAACTGTTGTATAATAAACCGCGGTGTTTTCTTCTTTTTTTTTAAATAAGCAGATGTGTGATTGTTATAACTTAAACACTCGATGCATTGGATCACTTTTTTCTGTAGCACTAGTAGCTTGTCAAGGTTATTTTTAGTTGTCGTACCCCAAACGATTAAGTAAATGAGAGTGAACAAGTGCAATAATTGGCACTTAAGCCACGTTGGTAATAAATATCTTAACTTGTGTTTTGCGCCAATTGATCTGGAGAATGTTATGGAAAACTTGGGCACATGAATTGTGCAGTACAGGTGTTCATGAAACCATACACACAGGAACTTTAATGATTCAACCTTCTCCAATTTGTAGGAGTTAAACAAGCTGTGCGTACCTGTACCTTTGTACCGGATATATTTCGCGTCGTCCACATTCAACTTCGAGAAGAAAAAAGTAAACTCCAGGTTATTTTAATGATAATGGGCCAATAATAAGTGTACCGATGAGGTCAATGCCTATCAAAAGATCGTTTGCTCGAAACAACACATGACCGACTTTCTAGAGTAAAGACTAAATGCCGTTAATCCACGGGTCTCTGGCCACAACTTGCAGTCGCCACTGATCGAAACGAGGCCACAAAAGCGTGCGACCGAGCGTGAAGCCCGCGCCACCCTCCGGCGGCAGGCAGAAACGCGGGCCCGGCGTGGTGAGCCGGTGGCGAGTGTGACGGCCATCGGCGTACGGTTGATCGACCCTCGCGTGATGACGGCGTTCGCTTTCAAGACGATTCGCCCGCGGGCTCGCGCTGCACGCACGCTTCGCATGATTGCAGAGTCAACGACACAGTTCGGCAGTATCGATGACTTCGAGCCCGTTTCGCGAGGCTGCCTTGTGATTTTCGGTCTCGTGCAGCAGAAAGCGCGACGCCCACTTCGGCTGCCGTTATTTTCTTAAAGGGGCACTGAAGTCGATTTTGAGATCGTCCTTTTGTGGTGATAACTCAATCTAGACGCTATAAATATCCCAACAAACCCGAAGCAAGCCCGTTAGCAGGCAACGAATAAGCATCCAAAGCACATGGATGACATACTTAGCGACAAAAATGCAGAGCAAATTGCTAGGCAATTTCGTAGCACGTGAAACGTGTTGCGTCTGCGCTCTCGGCGTTGTTCATCGATTATTTTAGCGGCTGACTTAATTAACACGTAGCACGTATGCACTCGATAGCAATTCCCGGAATGGAGTTACCGGCGATAACTCGGGTCTTAATGACGTGTGACAGTGTGTCAAGTTGCTATCTATCGGGCGGCATGCAGAGCGGATGGGCTGCAAAGCTTTCCCGCCAAATGACACCTCATCTCACGACGATGTGTCGTGACATGGTTCGCTTCCGGCTTGCGACAAGAGCGGACGGAAAATGCAGCGCTCTGATAAAAGCGCGTTATCGGCTCCTGCGAGCCGAGGAACCAACGATGCCGCGGGCAGTGGTAACGATGAATATCGTGTTCTGTTGCCCCGTTTTCCCAACGGAAAGATGTGCATGAACTCCGTTTTTTTTTTTTTACACGCCGACCTTTCTGGAAGACCGTACCGAGCCGTCGACTTCCGCGACGGCTTAAAAGACATCGTGGATTCCAACGACATGGTGTCACTCGGCCAATATCAGAGGATGGTGACGT